CATAAGTACCCGTAGTGTCCCAATTTTGAGCATTTTCAGCTAACAAGTCTAAGTACTCCATTGCTTCATCAGGGTCTTTATCTTCAAAAGTTCCATTGCACATCAATTCAACCATTTGCCTATCTCTAGGTGTTAACCCTTCATAAAAATGTGAAACCAATCTCCATATTTCAAAACCATGATAAGGGCAAGTACTAAGCAAGTCTCGATACCTATCCCAACATTGGTAAAATGTTTCTCCTGGTTTTTGAGTGAAAGTGGTGATTTGTCTTTTGAAAGAGTTTGTTCTGTGAGATGAAAAAAACTTCTTTAAAAACTGTTGTTGCATTTCATCCCAAGCACGAATGGATCCTGGTCTTAAATTTTATAGCCATGTTTTAGCTTTAGCTTTTAATGAAAAAGGAAAAAACCTTTAATCTGATGGTGTTCATGCTACAATTTAAATTATTATATGTGTTGCAAACCTCCTCAAATTCCCTTAAATGCAAGTATGGATTTTCCAATTCTAAGCCATGAAAAGAAGGTAAAAGTTGAATAATACCTGGCTTAAAATTAAAATGAGATGCATCGGGAGAAAAAACTATGCATGATAGTGCACTTGTTCTTGTGGGATTCATGTGGTCTCTAAGTGTTCTAGCACGGTTATTCTCATTATTCTCATTGTGAAGTGATTGATTATCTTCTTCAGCTATAGTTTCTGAAAATGATAAGGATACCCTACAAAGTCTACCACTTGATGTACGTGACCACACTCTCATGCACGTGTAGGAATAGAATAAAAGGAAGAAGAAAACAAAAGAAGAAGAAACAAGAGAAAAGAAACAAAGTTATATACAAGAAAAGTGAAAAAAGAAAATAAAATAACTACTATAATTTATACAAGAACTTACCTCCCCGGCAACGGCGCCAAAAACTTGACACGACGAAAAGATAGATGTCTTCTCCAAAGTGTAGGAGTGTCGAAGTAATAAATAACCCAGCAAGACCGGGGTCGAACCACAGGGAGGTTAATTGTACAAATTATAAATAACAATAATACAACAACAGTAACAATAACAACAACAACAACAACAACAACAACAACAACAACAACAATAATAATGATAATAATAGTAGTAGTAGTAGTAGTAGTAGTAGTAGTAGTAATAAAGAAAAAGAAGGAGAAGTAGTAGTAGTAGTAGTAGTAGTAGTACTAATAATAATAATAATAAAGAAATAGAAGAAGAAGAAGAAGATGAGAACTTTGAGATGGAATATTAATGTAACGATTAAACAATGATAATAACAAATGTCAAGGTTAGAGGTTTCACTAATGGTATATCAAACAAGTATAGTATAAACTCTTATTATTGAATTGGAAACCACACACAAAGGAGGTTCCAATCAGATTATATATTGTTAACATGATTACATTAGTCATCTTATTCAATTAATGCTAATACTTGTAAATCTCGTCAAGCATTCATGATTATAACTTATGTTAACAACAAATCAAGTTCCTTTCATAGCTCAGGTGTCGGTTATACCATACAGTATGGGCTATGAGAGTGCCAAGTATTTGTTGTACCAAGTATTATACAACATAAATCAAGATTAGTCATTTAACAAGCAAAGTATTAAAGAGTGAACAAGATAACAAATACAAAACATGTTAGTATCAAACATTAAAGTCCATATTAAGTTTACACTATACTTATTCTTACACCATTAGTGTAACCTTTTCACCTTGACATAATAAACTTAGCTAGACATAATGAAAGAAAGAAAAATAAATAAACAAAATAAGAACATAAATAAGATAAGAGTTAACTAAGTAAAGGAAAGGAAATGAAAGGCATAAACTTGATATTAATGAAAGCAAAGCATAAACATTACAAAAAATACAAAGAGAGAAAGGAAGAGCATGATCTTGATCTGGAAACCAAGATGCCTAAATGCATGGCAAATGCCTCCTTTTATAGGCCAAAAGTGGGAACTATTGATTTGATGACTAATTGATGAGTGGGTGGCCAACTCTTGACTTGGTGACAATCCTTATCTTCTCTTATCTGCCCAAAACGTCATTGATAACGTCAAAATTGGAGCCACTCAAAAACATGAAAGTTGTAGGCAATTGTCTCAGCTTTCTTGTGTAAAACATTCAGGTCATTTGGACTTCTAGAACTCCAGATATGGCCAAAATACTGAACAATGCTCGGGTTGGAGGACAGATTCGGACCTTATTCTTAAAGTCATCAATCAATCCTTTCATTTATGTGATAGGCCTGCATTTAAAATGAACATTTACTACAAATTAAAAGTATCTTATATTATTATATATATTATTATAAAACATGCTTTAGTTAAGGAGTTATTGATAGTTCAAGTGCAAAATAATGATATAAAACCATGATAAAAATACACTTTTATGTACTAATCACCAACCTTACACATGAAAGTTATAGAAAATTGTCTTCGCTTTTTAAGAAAAAAAATTGAGATCATTTGGACTTCTAAAACTCAAGATATGGGCTAAACACTAAATATTGTCTAGGCCGTAGGACAGATTCAGACTTCTACGTTTTTGTTAAGAATTGGACTTCCAAATAGTAGAATTAAGTCTTTCCTTCCACATAAAAGTTTTAGGACTATGTCTTAGCTTTCCATCCATATAAAAAAGATGTAAATATGAAATTTACAACTCCAGATATGACTCAATTATCGAACAGTATTTCAGTTTGGACTGCACGAGCATCTCTTTTCTAAATTTGGGCCTTTTTTTGTCCTTTCAATTTCAATACTTCAACTCATCAATCATTCCTTTCATTTATATAATAAGTCTGTATTTAGAATGAAAATTTACCATAAATTAAAGGTATCTTATGGTATTAGACTTGTTATTATAAAATATATTTTAGTTAAAGATTTCTTAATACTTCAAGTGCACAATGATGATATAAAACTATGATAAAAATATACTTTTAAGTACTAATCAAAGTGATCAGTTATAGAATTATCAATTGCTGTAAAATTAAATGGTTGAGATTTCATCATATCAAAAGCAATCAATGGTTTATATAATTTTGGTTTTATATTCATATTTAAATAATTATTTTTTCAATTAGTAACAGATAATCCGTTGCAAAATTTATATTGCCCTTAGAATCAAATTTTCCTTTGCTAAAGCCTATTACTAATATTAAAAAAAAAATATGTATAATCCATTGCAAATCTGTTACTGAATTTAGTAACGGAATTATATATTGTTAAATTCAGATGCTAATAACTCTTTTTTTTAGTAGTGTTGATTCTCAAAATATTATTTAACTCCTCAACATTAAATATTACAGATATATTTACCAACATATTTAATCAACAAATTTAAATACATCATTAATTATGTGTGTAAAAATGACACTTCTCATCAAATTTTTTGACTTCTTTTATTTTTTTCATTCTAATTTTCTTGATATATACCAATAAAATATTTGTAACAATGCTAACAGTGGCTATTACGGGAGCATATTCAATTGAAAAACCTCACCACAATTTATTGATAAAATATTTTGATTGATTTATCATTCATTTGTATTTATTAATTTTTTTTTTGTAGTGTTTTTTATGTTTGTCTCTTGAATCTTCTTAGGACAAGTAATAGAAAAATGCCAAATTAGTAATGATAAAATATTACTGGATTTTCAAGGACGTCTGGAAAATCTTACTGGCAACTTATAATTATGTGACAAATATGCAAGTTAAGATAGAGAGGCCGAATTAAGTCAAAAACTTTCCTTGTATCATTAAGAAAAGAGAGTAGTCATGCATGCAAGAGATACAAACGATAGATAAATTATACTATTTTTATTGTTCAACTTCAATCATATATATACAATGTTGATATATAGCATTAATTAATTCAGATCACGAAATCATTTTCACATTGTTTTTAACAAAAATAAATAAATCGTTCTAAATATACACAATACTACATATAATTATTTACCTGCTAAATAAATCTAATTAATTGTTAACAGACGCGTGAGATGATCATAAATTATACTATTTTTATTTGTTTCTTGAGTTTGAATTTTGATAAAGAAATTTATTTTCTTAAGGTAGTAGATCAATGTGGAGAAATTAGTTTTAAATAACATGTAATTATCACTAAAAATAAATACCTCCTTATTTAATAATTAACATCCTCAAACAATCGATTTCCTTCCGAATTCTTCTATCCACGTAGCGTACAAAAAGCTGAGCTCTTTACTCCGCTGAATCATTTTACAGTATTGGTGGGAACATGTAGAGGTATGTATATGTATATCCGTATATAGGCTATGTATGTGTTTATCGATTGGGCAAGGCAGTAAGTACACAGCGAAGAGAAAATATAATCAAATGAGGAATCATTGGATTTCCCAAAAAATAAAATAAAATAAAAGGTATTTTTATACCAAAAATAAAAATAATAATAATAAAAGGAAGATCAGCATTAACATTGTAGTTGTCCCAAAGAGGCGATCAATTAATCCATATATATATATATATGTATGATATGATATTGATTTCTTGCAAAGACTTTGTCTGGAATATCTTGTTCACTGGCCTACGCTGGCTTACGGTCACGAGTGCCCATATGATTTTATTATTCATGTAACTCTGTGGACCCGACTTGGCTACAGTTTGCAAAACCAAACAAATATTATTCAATACCATAAATAACCTTATCATATACTCTATCACATTACATTATTAATACATAACTCTACCACAACAACCTAACTCTCTCTCTCTCATCAAAATATTACTCTCAAACACATTGCAAGTTAGCCCAGCTTTTTTCTTGCCTCCTTCCTTAATTCACAGCCTGTCAAGCTTGAATTATTATGAACATGAATACCAACATATTTTAACTTAAGGTTAGCTTTTGTTTTTCTTCTAAGCAAGGGAGAGCTAGCTAGGCTAATTCAAATATTGGAGTCTTAATTTCTTTTACTAGCCATAATAACTCTCCGAATTCAGCACCACAGCTGCACTCCATAGGTTGCTCCGTCCATATTGTTAAAAGAAAAAAATGAGTTATGGAAGCTCATGAGTGGTATAAGGGCTTGCTTGTTTTTCAGCTTTTCTTTGTCGACAATAGACTACCTTGTGGCATGAAGGAGAGAGATGTTCAATGAGCCTTGTAGGAAAGCACAGCGATCTGGTCACTATATATTTCAGGTGATGAATATATAATTATAGAGTAGTTTTCTTGTTCTTGTACTGAGTTGGTCATGAAACTTGAGTTTTTTCTTTTCTTTTTTTCTTCCATGTTCTGAGAGATGGCCTGTAAGGACAGCATTCCTGATCTTTTTGCTTTTTTGTCTGCTAGCTGTATTGGTTATTTGTGATTTTCATGATTGCTAATAAATCTCTTGCACATAATTAAGAATACAAAGTGCAAAATTGGTTTTTCAGTCTTCTCAGTCTACCATCTCATAGTTATCCAGTTTGCTGTTCATTTTTGTCTATGTGTTGATTGCTTTATGGCTTTAAAATAATCTTCTGTATCAAAAAGAAGGATTTTTAACTGTTGTGTGATTTCATCATGTGGCTATTGGAAAGGGTTGGTTTTGGAAGAAACAGAAAGGGGTGTGAACACTTTCCTAGAACAAATTTCCTGAAGATGAAGACCACCGTTTTGGCTAGTGATTGTCCCGCCAGAGAGAGAGAAAAACCCGCAATCCATGTTTAGTCTTTCTATTGCCTACATCCCATTTTCTCCTTACGTCCTTCTTCATTGTCAAAGCACTGTTTTGTTACATATTCGAAGACAAAATTAGGTAGCATGATTAAAAATGTAGCAAGGCAATTTCATCTTTGTAATAATTGCTTGCATCTAGAACAAGATTGAAGAAGATCCCGTTTAAAGGTTTCTTGCATTTGAATTTTACTTTATCAAAATTTAATATGAATCAAAATTTACAAAATCTTTTCTAGATCACTTTTGTTCCCAGATATCCCATAAAAACTTCGGGTCAACGGCCCTTTGTCTCCACTCCTATGTAGTGGCCTTTTATAAATCTATTTATAGAGTAAATAATGGAAACAGATAAGAATAAAAAATAAAATAAAAAAGAGCAAAGTTTATGATCGATGGAGATCACATGTGATCCATCTCCATGATTGATCTCTTTTTCTGTTATAATTTTCTTGCTGTTTTATTTTTTCTTGATGAAATCGGAGTTGCAAGATTCTCTGTTGTCTCTAATTATATTACTTTGAAGTTTGATTATCATATAATTTCAGGGATGGGAACCAAACTTGAATATGCCATCAATCTTCTAGCAACTTCACAAAATAGCAGTAGTGTTGGTGTACGTTGTGTGGATGACCTGGAATATTTGCAGACCAGGGGTCTGAGTAAGGACCTTCAAGTTGGTGGGACAGACAAGTTTTGCAGCTCTATGGACAGGATGCCTGAGAAACACAACATAGACGTCATCAAGAAGACAATGCAGTTGCATGATGATATCTTCAAACAACAGGTGAGTTTCAAGTCTAGTTTAACGTCCATGTTTTGTGGGGATCAATGTCTTAGCTGAAACCTTTTTACTTGAAGAATACTTTTTCCCCATAGTTGGACATTTTGACATCACTACTTTCCAGGGAATAGTTTCCAACTAGAACTACTGAGGCCAGGGTTGTGTTATCTATTCATCACTCTAATTCAGACCTAGAACCCACTGAGCAATATATAAATAACCTTAATTACAAAAGCATTTCCCTTTTCTTTCCACTGGCTAGCCCCACAAGCATATATAAATTACTGATTACTGTCTATGGCAAGGAACTTGAAAGCTGACAACAGGAATATTAACTAACTGTAAAATGGAACTTGCAGGTAAGGGAACTCCATAGGCTGTACAGTGTTCAAAAGATGTTGATGGATGAGTTGAGCAAGAATGAAATTAAACAAAACAGGAAGTGCTGGACTCCAATGACTAGTTCCTATATTAACTACTCTCAATTCGCTAACCGGCCTAATTCAACAGCACAAACAACTTGTGGTTATAGTTTCCTTTTTCAAAGCCCGAGGGATGATCCAAGTTCAAGAGAAAGAAGTGGTAGCTGCTCAGATGAGACGGTGAGATTTACAAGGGGATTCGATCTTGAAAGGCTTGCTGAGCATATATCAACTGGAGTTGGAGCCGTGGACGAGAACCAAGCTGGGCCAAGCACTTGTGCACCCCAAAAAGGGAAAATGAGCATAGATGGATCTGATGAAGATAGTGAAGTGGAGCTGACGTTAAGCATCGGAGGTACCGCTACAAGCAAGAAGATATCCAAAAGCTACCAGACACTTGAGCTTGATTCTCCAGCCTCGTTTAAATCTGAACGACGAGAGGATTACAGCACTCCTATAACCCCAATGAGCAGCTCTACTGCAACATGCGGTCAGGACAGAAAGCGGCCGCACTGGCTTTTCCAAAAAGTTTGAGTATAAATAGGACTTGACCATATGTATCTGTGTGTCCTTCTAAAACTCCACTTGACTCGGACCAACAAAAATCTATGGTCATTGAATTGAGATTCTTGATTCAGTTCCAACCTCGATCTATTAAATGGATTTTGAGGAACCCTTATCTGGGGTATTACATTGGTTGTGAATAGGACATCTACTGCACGTCAATCTAGCTACCTTTTCTTTTCAAGTCCACCAGTTCAATATTTGAAATCTCGATCTACAGACATTGTGTTTTAGTTGTTCTGCACCAATCTTAGTTTGTAAACTTTTCCAATTTCAGATATGTAAGAGCAGATTGGAGAAAGAAATTAATGAGAGTAATATGTTATCCTACAAAAGTAAACCAGCAGGCGTGTATGAGATGATGACCAAGTAGGTGGCCGCACTCAAATGCATTCAAGGATGCTTATCACTACCAACTTGGGGATAAGAATTTAATAAACTTTTGTCTCCCATTTTTTTCTTTCCTCTAACTAATGTTGTGAAAGCAACAGGAAGTCGAATTGCAAAATTGACAATGATCAAAATCACAGATTGTGCTTCTTGCAGTCACAAATATTGTCAGAATTTGTGAAGTGGGGCAGAAGGAATGCCATTGATATAGTTTTTTGTCTTCAAATCCATGTCTCTTATTTGAAAGTGTTTCAGTGCAGATGGTCCTGACCAAAACGCAACCCTCTCTTTTTCTTTGCTGTTGTATCCACTATCTCTCCATAAAGGAGAGAAACAGCGTTGCTCAACCCATGATCCATGTAAGATCAACTTGCACGTCCTACTGATCAAACGGTGGAGTGATAAGACAAGGAAGATACTATAATTAAACATGCCCATCATTTTAGGGACTTAAACTCTTGCAATTCGGTTTTTTATTTTCCTTTTTACTTTTCCCCTCAATAGCATGCTCATTGTGCAGATTAAAAGCCACATAATTCGAGGTTCGTACTTACAAATTGAAAATATAGCAGAATTTGTAAGCATACCCGAGACCCCACTTTGCTAAAATGGTCATACAGTGAAAAACACAGTTGAGAAACAATTTACGAGTGATTTTTTGTTTTTCAAAAGAAATGGTTGAAATTTTGTTGTTCTAGCTGTAAACCTTCACCAACTCCCAATTCTAAGACCTTATTTAGCATATCTTTTGAATACTTAGGTTTGGATTTAAGAAATAGACATGTGTTACAGGTATACACAGCTATTCCTGCAGATTCATGCACAGACCATCAACAGTCCCTTTAGGTTGTTAAACTTGACATTCCCTATTTAATTATATGCTATTTTTAAGTGCTTTACCTTTTCTTTTTGTATGCTCACTTGATTTATAGAGTTCTCACAGCTTTAATAACATTTTAGAATTGCTGAAACTCCCACTTCCCTTTCCCTAGCTGTCAAAAAGTTTGTACTTTTAACGTTTCTTAGAACAGGCTCTCATTATCTGCTTTGACTAGAGGAGGACGAGTGAGAAGCTTCCTTCAAGATCATTAATTATGACTTTATCTGCATGTGGGCATCTTTAGTTTAATTATTTATCTCATTGTCGAAGACTCGAAATCATATATTGTCCCCGGCAAATACAGTGCTGCTTTACTTGGCAACTATTTTTGCTGAAAAGCTCCTCCAGTTGAATTTTCAACATTTTAAAATCAAATGTACGGAGGGGGGGTGGGGGGGGGGGGGCAGCCTCTCCCTTGAAACAAAGTCTTAGGAAGAAAATCCCCCTTATAACGTTATTTAATTTGGCCCCCCTTAATTTTTTTTTCTTGCTTCGCCCTGCCATTGAGGTTCTCAGTTCTAATCCTTGACACGCGATCTCGAAACACACTTCGAAAGTAATTTGCTTGTCGAGAGAACGGAATGAATGCAACATTTAACATAATCCTAGTCGGTAGTAAGCGAAATAACACAACAGATCCGATCCAATTGCAGGGACTGTGGGAGCTCCAACGTCAGCTCCCCTGGACTAACTAAACGAGGTTGCAAAAGCAATATTTGTACCCTTGAACATCATTTTTCCAAGGAAATTTGAACTCACCATCGATTATATATACTTGGGAATACAAGACATATATATATATGGTATATCGTTGGATTCTCATAGAAAATGAACTTATGAGAGTTTGCATAATATTTAATGTTTGTATTTCTTTTGAATTTTATTTATTATTATTATTATTATTCAAGAGTAGATAATGATTATTTTGTTACTTCACCTAAGAGAACAAATTAATTATTACAAAAAACTTGCTATCAAATTTGTCAGGTTTCCTATTTTGGAAGGGGGGGCACCAAATACTTGTTATCATTTATCTTGCACAAATGTGGATTTGCTTGTGTAAATTCAAAGTATATTTGCTTTCACTGTTGCCACTATTGGTGTTCATGCGAGAGAGAGAGGTAGAGTGTTATTGTCTTGTTTTTTGTTTTAATTAGTCAATTTGAATTATTAATTAAATAAGAAAAAAAATATGACATCGACCATTTGGTGTTCCATTACATGCAACAGGTGTCAAGTTATGGGTTAATGGAATTTGGTCATGACTCTTTTTTTTTTTTTTGAGAAAGAGAAAAAAAAAAGACTTGGAGCCTTACGATACTTTTTATGTTGGAGGATTTTTCTTATTAGAAATGTTTAGTGTAAGAGAGAGGGAGGATGCTGCTAAATCTTTATTTCCATTTTAATTCAAGTTTTTATTTTTTTGTGCAATTAAATTCCAACAATTTATTTACATTTAAAGGTTAGAACTCCAAGAAATTTAGCCTAGATGGTTTACTCTGTTCCTTGACATTTAAGTTCAAACTTGAAGATTAATATTTAAGATAATTTTTTAAAATTATTTGAGAAGAAATTTAATCTTGCTTGACATGCAAAGACAGAGTTAATTGATAATTATAAATTATTTACAAGTACATCACAACCTTGAGCATGATATTAGATGTGTATTTAGGACATTTTTTTTATAGTTTTTTTTTAAATAGTATTAAATACCCCTTTTATGTTGTAATGGATCATGTGCTTAAGTATTAATTATCATGATGTTTATGTATTCAAAAATGTAACTTAATCATGTGTACTTATTTAACTATATTAGTTATTTTATTGTGTTTTAGATAATTACTATGTATTTGTATTTTTTAAATCTTATAAAGATTTGAGAGTTTCTATTGGAAATTATATATATATATATATATTGTGAACCATAATAAAATGTGACTTTCTCATATTACAAACTCCAATGATCTTTTTTTTTTATGAGTTGTCTATAAATATGACTTTCCCAGTAATACTTGAGAAAAATGAATCATTTTCGGTCATGTATCTTAAAAAAGCACTATTCAATAACCACTCTTCATATTCCCTTGATTCATACATATACAAATCAAGATGAGGTTTTGGTACCAAATTCTTAATCATCATTATCACTTTCAATATAGTGTATAGTTTTGAATGCCAAATTTTTATTTGGTTTCTTTTATAGTTGCTTTTTCATGGTAATTTTATGAGTTATTAATGAACTGATACGCTCTTCTAATTAAAGTTTGGTATGGTTGTTAGTTTCTTAAATTGTTGTGATCTTGTTTCCCAAGTTTTTTGTAAAAACCTAAGAATTTTGCTTATGATATTGGCATTAGTATAAGTTTTATCAAAAGCATCCAAACTATTAGTTATAATTATCATTTTAGTAAACATACTAATATGAAAGTATTTTAAGTAACTTATATTGATGTACAAGCATGTCTATTTTAAAATATTTTTCTAATATTTTTACAAGATGATATTTGATTGAACTCAATGCACAATACAAAGTGATCATTGCTTTAGCATCCATATAAAGTAGATTTTTATCACCATTATTATACTTATCCCCTAGCTTTAGGAATTGTTATACCATCTTCAATTTTAGTATGCTTATGACATTTATTTTTGATAGATAGCTATAAATCATAATTAATAGATTGAAAATATATAATCATCCTAATTTTCCAATAAGCATAGTCATTACCATTAAAGAAAGGTGGCCTACAGGTGGATGATCCTTCATTTTGTACATTATATGTAGTGGTTTTCATTCTACTTAAAGTCTAGAAAAACTTATATAAATGAGAACTAGGCTTTGATATCAATTGTTGTTCTAGGATTCCGGTAATAATATCAATTAGATGTTCCAATAATAATAAGAAATATTGTAATTAACTCAATTAAACATAGTTAACCAACAATGTAATTAAAATGCATAAAGTAAAGAATATATAGGGATAAAAATTACAAACTTGATTTTTAACGCGGTTTTGGCAAGCCTACATTCACACCTTAAACATTAAATTGGTCTTCAGTATTGTACTATTTACTAATTCAAGATAATGATTACAATTTCATTGATAAATCCTCACCAAGCTCTTTTATCATCACTTGAAAAAATAACATCTTCAAGATTTTTCATCTAGATAATGTAACTTACCAATGACCAAAAGTTTTTCAATTAAGCTCCTGAAGGATTACAATTGTTTGAAATATAACAATAGTTTATCAAAGAGTAGATAATCCAATTGAAAGTTTTAATCTCTTTATATCTCACAAGATAACACTTAATGGATTGGAAAATATATAAGTGTTATGAGAATGAGAATGTGTACTTTTATGTAATGTCATGAAGGTTTTAATGCATAAACATGATTATAATTAGAGATTAATGATTTTGAAGTTTTTTTTATAAGGTAACTTGTATATGATATTTTTTTTATTCTTTATGTAATTCTATAGTTAGACAAGCTATATATATGTTTCTAGAAAAACATTAACCATTTTATAGTCATTATTATTTCTCTAACAGATCAAATGGTCGATTGGTTCATATTGGTTAGGACAATCAATCGATTGGTTCCTGCATATTCCCAGGTGTTCATCCCTAATGAAACAAACAGTTGATCAATTCATACAAAATATCAGTTTTGATAGTTTTAAACATGGTGAAACTAAAACTAGTTAATCTAGATTTTATCAATCATGTATCAATCTTACAATACATGTAATGTGAAGCATGTGAGTTCATTTTAATTGTATTATCAAGTAAGATATAGAAGTGTCTATATTTAGCACTAAAATGAATACTTAAAAATAAAGTCTTCATTTACTTTGCATCTTAGACTTGTTGATTGATTTTTTCTTTTAATTCTCTATGTTTATTGATGTAATCTTCATATAAATATGTATAAACTTATTTTAAACCAAGCATATCATTATTCCACTTTCCATTTAATTGTTATCATCAAAATATATAAAAATATTAATATGTGACCTAAAAGTCAACAA